AGTTAGAAAGACCATATAAGGGAACAATAGATATATAAAACTGACACAGTTTGCATAGTTGAATAACTGGTTTCAATAAAAGGTGAAAAGTGAACATGGTATTAAAAGAGTAAAACTGCAAACAACCTACTTATGGACCTGTTATATTGAGATGAATAGGGATTGATTAATATGAACAGTAATAATATAAAATGTGAAAATGACCATGTTACATATACAAAAAATAACCCCATGTGAAATATCTATTCTTGTATTGCATTTTCGTTCACTGGACATATTTTAATTTGCATTGCTATTAGATACATTTTAAGGGTGATATGAAAATTGAACCACGAAAACAGATGTACTTTAAGTTAAAGGGAACTTTCTACCATACCCGCCATGCTATCTGACCCGAACGAGCCACCTTGTGGTGAGATTGGTAACTACCTGCTCGCATCTGCGTTATTACGCAGAAACATAAACGTATACACAAGGAAACTATAGGAGCTAACCTATTTTATCTCTGTATACATTTTAACTATAATACATCGTTACAAAAAAATACAAAATACCTGTATATTGATTTTTTGACATTGACCGATTCTTGAATTGAATCGAATTTGTCCAAAGGTCTTGAAACGTAAAATACCTAAATATTTATCTTTGACCTTGGGATGACCTTGTACAAGAAACATTAATGTTGACCTCGGTTCATCTAATCATAATTCGCCAAGGGCCATAGTATCATCAAACGCCAAATACCTAGACATTGATCGTTTACCTTTGAATGAACTTAACTCTGACCTTCGGAGACCAACTTACTAAGGTTAAATGGTGTAGAAGGAGATGTCCCGACAGACAGACAAAATGACAGACAGACCAAACATGCTTTTATAGTAGGTCTCGACATCTCCTTTTGCCCTCATACTTGATGGGCCAGTGAGCGTTCTACTAAGGTCAGATGTCAAAGTCATTCTAGGTTAAAGGCAGAATCGGATATATGTAGGTGACAAAATTACAAGCAACATGTACAATTGACGTACTTATCTATTCCTTACAATCTCAAATACAATATCTCACAAAATATTTACGATATGTTAGAAATTGATGAAGTTATAATAGATTAAAAGTGCAAAATTGTAAATAATAAGTAACCATTCTTATAGAAGAAATATACAAAAGTCATTGTTGTAAACTCTTTAGTTTTCCTGAAATAAAGTGTGCAGTTTTGGGATTTTTAGATAATAGACATGAAAAGGAATGACATAAGCCAGAAATATTCTAAAATTGAAACAATTTTTTTGTTAGACTGCTTGCTAGATCCGATTCTCTCTTTAAATGTCAATATCTAGGTTTACGCGTTCTTTACCCTTGGTCTGAGATTCGACCCTTGATGAGGCATGATTAGGTGACCTGAAGTCAAGGTCATTCCTATGTAAAATATCAATATCTATGTATTTGGTGATTTAAAGTCCTTTCGGCTGCTGTGACCCTTGACAACCAACGATTAGGTGAACTGAGTTCAAGGCCAATGTAACTGGGTCAAGTTTGTTTCAAGATCAAAAATACTTATACGCCAGTATATAAATTTATGACAACATTGGATAGGGGGTCAGAAAAAAGTCTAAATCAAATATATATTTTTAGATCTATTTTTCAGAATGAATTAAGACTTATTTAGGTATGCCATAAGAAAATACAAAAATAAAGCGAATACGAAACTAAAGCCTATACATGACGTCAACGGCCGGAATCATAATTTGGCGCACTTTTCAACATCTACACTGTTGCTCATAAATATGGAATATTTTATAGATACGAACTGTTCGATGGAATTTCTACAAAATTATAACATTTTGATGAAAATTTGTAATGTGTTCTCATTCCCTCATCAGTTTTGCATATAAAACTGATTGGTATGAAAAGTTAAAACATTTATGGTTGATTAAACTTGTATTCACTCAGGTGACCCCATGACATCATGATATTGGTAACTTGAAAGAGGTGTCCAAATCTTAGTTGTAATCATTGTGCACATTTTATAAAAATTTAATTTAGAGTTGGAAGGGTTTTTTGAAGGCATGCCCCATAGAATAAGCGAAAAAGAGCATGGCAGGTCATAGGGATGGCGCTCTCTGGCATGAAACAAACTGCCATTGCCAGGACCCTAGGAGTGTTTCAGGAACAGTCTTTAAGATTTTGCAGTGATACCAATATAGGCACTGGAATATGACTCCAGGTCACAGTAATAGTAGCCCGAGAGAGAAAAATGTAAGAAAAGACCACCAACAGCTGCATTTATGTCATCAAAATCGCTTAAAGTCAACCAGTAGTCTACGAGATGAATGGCTGTCTCACCTCAAAAACCCGTGTTCCAGAGCTATAAACAACCAGTGATTTCTTTATAACAGATGCAAGGCCATAATACATTTAAAGAGACCACAGCTGACTGATCATAACAAAGAAAGGTGCCTTCAATGGGCTGGAAAGCACCAAAAACGTTGGACCTAATCTTTGATGTCATATGACAGCATGTGAAGAAATAAAATGTGTCCTCCACAATGTTAATAATTGTGTTAGTTTCTGTCATAGACCAGGGGAAAGAGACAATAAGGACACTTACTGATGTGGCAGTCCATGAAGGCGACCCTATTTATGTTTGGAGCAGTATTACAGAGGTTGTTTGGAGCAGTATTACCGAAATTGCACCCCCTTGGTGATTCCCAAACATAATTTCAGAGTAAATTGCTCTTTTGGACCTCCATCAAGTACCACATGTAAACAGAGTGTTTTGGGGCAACATTCAACTGCAGAATGATCATGCTGTTGCATATGCTAGTGGCATCGTGTTGGATTACATCAGGGCAGGCAATGTGGACCAGCTACCATGGACACAAAAGTCAGCCAATCAGGCTAATGCAGAGCAAATATGGGACGACCTTGGTAATGAGATTCGTGACTTGGACCCCCATCTCAAAATTTAGACACATTACGCACTGCCCAGATTGAGGAATGGGGCCTTGTTTCACTTTGAAAGGTCAGATGTTTCATTCAATGCTGGTCCCGTAGGGTTGATGCTCTGATTGCAGCACAAAGAGGACATAACACATATTAGTGCTATCATTGGATAGAGGACACTTCAATCTTCATGACCAGATGTTTTTTTTGTTTGATCTGTTTTACAGGACGATTTGGATCGGGGTATTTTGAAAATGCCAAAATTCTTAGCGTACCCCTGTTTAAGTAACAGAAATTTTCTAAACTTAAATGTTAATATTTTTTCTCTAAAAAATGTTGATTTGTAGGTGAAATATGTGGTTATGATTCGCCTAGAAAATAAATGTCTGGGCCAACTCCAAATAAATGTTCTATTACTCCAAACTTTTAATTCGGAGCTGCAAATTGTAATATTCCATATTTATGAGCAACAGTGTACAATAACAAGCAAGACGTAGCAAGCCATACTTCAAGCCATACAATCCATATTTCAAGTTAAGTCAAACGTCATAGAGTAAGTACAATAAAAGCATAATAATGATAATTAAATAATCATAGAATATACTAAAAAGTCCATTAGATGTTGAAATAATAGTCAAAACATAGATGTAAACATAGATGTAGATAGATATAACAGACAACTATGAAAACAATAAGCTAGCATAGTCCTAGTACACATCCTCTGATCCTAATTTAGTAAAACAATCTTGTTTCTTTTCAAATTAGATTGTGATATGAGTTATTAAGGTTCTAATTTCTTATGACAACTTTTTAATTAATAAGTGGTATGCACTTAGAGTTTGCTTTTCTTGCTAAGTTCCATTACAACTTTTGGTCCTTTCCCTTTGGCACTTCTGCTTATATATTTAGATTTTCTCTTTGATACATAGATAAATCTATTGATTAAAAAATCTCTTTCAGAGTATGGATAACGAAATGAAATTGGCTATAGTAGGTAGCAGTTTAGTTGGAAATGTTTTTAAGGCTAATCCTAAATGGAAATTTAAATCTAAAACAAAAATAACATGGCACTTTAAGCCAGGAGGTCACATTGATGACTTAGATAATTCAACAGTAAATTTCAAAACCCTTAGACCCAACATTGTGTTTTTGCAAACTGTGGGTAATGATTGTTCTGACGCAGGGAAAGATTACTCCGAATCAATAAATTTTCACATTTCAACTATAACAGAGAATTATTTGAAAACCATTTCCATCATTCAAAAGAAACTTTCTGAGAAAAATGTAATTTTAGTTGGGAAAATTCCGATTAGATCATATCATTGGAAGCATTTGAAGCACAAAAGTGATATTGAACGTACTAATATAATCATAAATGGCGTCAACAAAGAAATTCATCAACAGCAAAATTTCCATGACTTTATATTTTGGCGATCAAGAGGATTGGAGGATGTTGTAACAAGTGGACTTTTAAAGAGCATGGTACTCATTTAAATTATCAAGGCCTATTAAAGCATAAGAAAGCAATCAAATACGCATTTATCCATGCATTGGGTATATTAGATAGTTAAGTAAGTATCTAATTGTTTTTAATATTGAATACAAATAGTTCAAAGTATCTTAAAAGCAGTTGAGGAAACATTAAATAATGAATTTCTTTGACTTATTTGTTATTCAAATATATTAGCATAACTTTAGCATAGCTTTAGCATTATTAACAGTATTAATAATATAGCAACAGTATTAACAATACTATTTAACTTTAGTTGATAACTTAAATGTTAAAACTAAAGTAAAGAGTGTCACAGGCATGTAATTAAAGTACGATTTTTAATAATTCGATTTATATATTTTTTCTTTTTAACTAGATAATATAATTACTCATTTCTTTCACTTTTGAAGTACTTTAATTGCAAGAGACAACTATATAGCGTTGGAATAGAATAGTCTATTTTAACAAGGTTTGGCATGGGCCAGTGAAATTGATTTACATAGGTCAATTTCACTACCATAGCTCGGGAGCAATCTCATTAGCAAAAGTTGTTTCTTTATTAGGCCTGATGGCAGATAAAGATACTACAGGAGAGCATAGTTACTCAAAGCGATCAACAGATGATCAAAGAAAGACAAAAGAGTCACCCCCAAGAATTGATACCACTCCTAAAACTACAGCAAATATAATACCTCAAGCTACTCCAACCTTTCAAATACAACCACAATGGGGACAGGTTTATCAGCCAATGCAAAATTGGCAAATGCCAAATTGGTATTCTCCTTATCAAAACTGGACAATGGGCCCACCTCAAATGACTAATTTCACTCCAACCATGTTTCCCAATTTGAGCTTCAATAATCCGATATCATCAACTTCACCTTCAGCGTCTCAAGGAGCTCCACCAATAAATACCACACAAACAGCTACCAAAAGCACAAGTACAACAAGCACTAATATGACAAATCAACAACATTTGAATCCATCAAATAACAGGCCTAATATATCCAATGTTCCACAAGCAATTCCTAATATAGGACAGATTGGAGGTCAAAATGTTCCACCAAATATCATCCCACCACCACAAAACCCAGGTATGTTCTGCCTAAATGCAGTTCCAAATGCCGACATGATAGGTAGCATTATTAACTCTTCACTTCGAGATAAAATATGGTCCAATGAATTCGTAGAATTGCATAAGCTAATCCAAGATGATCTTGAAAATGAAAATGAAGGTTTTGAGGTAACTATAAAACAAGGAAATCAAATCATCATTCCTACCAAAAAGGGGAAAAAGTTTCTGTCATATCCTGATTGGTCCAAGGCGATGTATACATATATAAGCATATACATCTTGAAATATCCTCAAACTGCTCCAGCATTGATGTCTTATATGGCAAACATTCTAGAAATGAAGAATAGAGGTATGAATTGGGGGCAATATGACAGATCATTCAGACAAGCTAGAGCTAATACCCTTGCACCTTTGGATGTGATTGATGGGGCAAAATGGTTGAAAGCAACACCTTATTACAAAGTTAATGTGGATAAATCAGACCAAGATAATTTAAAACGTTCAGATCGTTCTGATAACACAATAGAACCATTCATACCCAATGGGTTTTGTTGGAAGTTCCATAAGGGGAAAAAATGTGAAAAGGGAGATTCATGTGTGGGTCATCATTATTGTCCAGCTTGTGGGGAAGGTGAGGTCCATAGAGCAATAAATTGCAATGAAGCCAAGGCTAATCCTTTTCGAGGAAAAGGAAAAGGAAAATTCCAATACAGTCGAAAGCGAAAAAACTAACATTTCAAAACTTCCAACTCCTGTCAAATTGCAAACATTATTAGAATGGTTATCAGGTTATGATGAAAAATTAGTGGAAGAAATCAAGTTAGGTTTTTCTGAAGGATTTAAAATTCCCTTTCATGGATCAGAATTGAATAGGAAAGATATTAATCAAAATATCAAGCATTTAGATACAGTGTTAAATAAAGTTCAAAAGGAAATCAATTTAGGGAGAGTAGAGGGACCTTTTAAAAAATGTCCAATTGATGGAATGGTAATATCTCCAATTTTTACAATACCTAAGAAAAACTCATCAGAACAACGAATGATTCATAATCTATCAGCACCAAAAGGTAAATCTGTAAATGAAGGTATAAATCATGAAGATGCAACAGTTCAATATGGTACTGTAGATGAAACGATTAAGAAAATAAAATCATTAGGAAAAAATGCATATCTTGCAAAAACAGACGTTAAGTCAGCTTTTAGAATTTTACCGATGCATCCTTCAAATTACTTCATGTTAGGTTTTAAAGTCAACGAGAATTACTATTATGATAAAACGTTACCTATGGGATTGTCAGTCTCTTGTAAATATTTTGAATTACTAAGCACAGCAATGCAATGGATAGGAGAAAATAAATTGAACATAACACACATGGTTCACATATTAGATGATTTTATAATAATTGAAAACACTCAAGAAGAGTGTAAAAAGTCTCTTGAAAAATTCCTCAATATGTGTGAACAAATAGGAGTTCCTATGTCACCAGAGAAAACAGAAGGTCCCCTGCAAGTCATAACCTTTGCAGGTATAGAATTAGATACTGTACATATGGAAGCAAGATTGCCAAAAGAGAAATTAGACAAAGCTAAACACTTAATTGATGAAATGTATAAATAAAAAGAAAATGACAAAACGGGAAATATTACAAATCATAGGTGTACTGAATTATTGTGCCATAATCATTCCATACGGTAGAACTTTTTTGAGAAGGCTGATATCTCTCTCCATGAAAACAAAAGAACTACATTGGCATGTATATATCAATGAATCTGCAAAATCTGATTTACAAATATGGAAAACATTTTTGAAAGATTTTAATGGAAAAAGTTTTTTTCTAGATAATGAATGGCAAATAAGAACAAATAAAACATTGTACACAGATTCATCAACTACTGTAGGATATGGAATAATATTTGGCAATGAATGGATATGTGGAGTATGGCCAGATTCTTGGACCACATATCATATAACAATACTAGAAATATTTCCAATAGTTTTGGGAATATTACTTTGGAAACATGAGTTGTCAAATAAAGCTATTGTAGTTTATACAGATAATGAAGCTGTCAAACAAATCATAAATAAAGGCACATCTAAAGAACCCACAATTATGAAACTGTTCAGGCCATTAGTATTGTGTTGTTTAAAACATAATATTTTAATAAAAGCAGAACACATACCAGGGTTAAAGAATGTAGGTGCGGATGCTTTATCTCGAGGTAAATTACAGGTTTTCAGAGAAGCACATCCATCATCAGAAGTGAACCAAAAAATAGTTCCAAAACATCTTCTACCGAAGAATTGGAATCTATAAGATATAATCTGATAAACAATGCACAAACAGAAAGTACACATGATGTTTATAAAAGATCGTGGAAAAAGTTAGAACAATTTGGTCAAATTTATAACATAAAAATATTGCCTTTGTCTACGCAAAATCTCAGCTTATTTATTTCATATTTAGTGCAACAAAATTATGCAACATCAACAATTCAAACTATTGTATCAGCAATAGCTTATTTTCACAAAATAAATAATTTCTCAGATCCAACCAACTCATATATTATTAAACAAATGTTATTAGGCATGCAGAAAACGAGACCAAGTGTAGACAAAAGACAACCAATTACTCAAAATTTATTACATCAAATGATTATGCATTTACCCATAGCATTACATTCTTCATATGATTGCATACTGATGAAGACCATGTACCTCTTTGCTTTTTATGGATTGCTACGTATAGGAGAAATAACAAATTCTCAACACAATCTACAGCTTAGTGATGTTCAAATAAATGGTAATAGTGAAATAACTATTAGATTTAGATCTTTTAAACACAGCAAACAGCCTGAAACAATTCATATTAAAAAAGAAATCAATCCTCTCTTTTGCCCAGTTCAAGCTTACAGGGAATATTTAGAGGTACGTGGTTTTCAAGAGGGCTCATTATTTTTGAGACAAAATGCTCCAATAACTTCACAGTTCTTTAATACTATATTAAAATCAATCTTGAGAAGTTGTGGAGCTGATACAGAAACAATTAAAGCGCATAGCTTCAGGATAGGTGGAGCTACATTTTTTGTAACAATAAAAAATTACAGTGACACAGAAATACAAAGATTGGGTAGATGGAAGTCTAATGCTTTTTTAAAATATATAAGATAACATATAACAATTTAAATAAGTTTGAGATTCAAGTAACTTAGCGGTAGCAAGTTACACAATACTGATGTTCAAGATCAGTCTGATACTTAGCGGTAGCAAGTATTTGATTGTATCCTTTATAACTTTTAATTAAATGTCCAAGAAAATTATATAGTCTTAAGTTTAGCATAATTTATAAGTAACAAGTCACATAATTATAATATGTCAATTGTAAGGTATAAGTTTGATACTTAGCGGTAGCAAGTATTAGACTATATCTTTTATTTATATTCAAATATACCAATAAAATATTCATATTGTTAATATATTGGTTTTCTTGATTATAATTTTATTATTAGTGGGGCAATTGTAACTTCATAATCATAAAAACAATGAAGGTATATATAGAAGTCACAATTAGTGGCGAATAACCCCACATCAAATGAGAAATTATAAGGTAAGAACATTAATTAGCTTAATTAACTTTATTTGAATTAAGAGTAATTAAAATTGTCTTTAAATAGGCTCCCTATCTCACACACACGCTAGACAATGAAAGGCATAAATACTTATACGCCAGTATATAAATTTATGACAACATTGGATAGGGGGTCAGAAAAAAGTCTAAAATCAAATATATATTTTTAGATCTATTTTTCAGAATGAATTAATACTTATTTAGGTATGCCAAAAGAAAATACGAAAATAAAGCGAATACGAAACTAAAGCCTATACATGACGTCAACGGCGGGAATCATAATTTGGCGCACTTTTCAACATCTACAATAACAAGCAAGACGTAGCAAGCCATACTTCAAGCCATACAATCCATATTTCAAGTTCCCACCACCATCCCCAAAATCGCCACCTCAAATAGATTAAAGTATAGTAAGTATGTAGAGGCGAATAACCCCACATCAAATGAGAAATTATAAGGTAAGAACATTAAATAGCTTAATTAACTTTATTTGAATTAAGAGTAATTAAAATTGTCTTTAAATAGGCTCCCTATCTCACACACACGCTAGACAATGAAAGGCATAAATTAATATCTAAGTATTTGGCGTTGAAAGGACCTTGAGGGCTACAATGACCCTTGACGACACATGATTAGGTGACCTAAGGTCAAAGTCAATGTGTATTGGCCAACGTTATTTCAAGGTCACATCTAGGTACTAGTATCTGGCGTTTCACGAGGTTTCAACAAGTTCATCTCAATTCAAAAATCAGTCAAAGTCAAGTTATCAATACAGGTATTTTGCATTTTATGGAGGCTGCTGCTATATTGGGACCCTTCGTGATCCAGTCGAACATGTAGATTTCTAGTATTTGTAAAGATGTATAAAAGTTAAAATGTATACTTTCCATGAGCTCCTATCGTTGGATTTAAATAAGGAGTATGATTTTAAAATTGGCTAGGTCGTGGTTAAGCAACAATAGTATGTTCGAAATACCGCTGTGTAATGCCCGGATCACATTTGCTGCGAGTATTTTGTTCAAAATTGAATACATTTCTGAACACAATACTCAATCGGCCGGGCGCCGTAGTGAAAATCGGAGCAAATGTGACCAAGACATAAAACAATCGAATAATACTGTATCAGTTTCACATTTACAGCGGTCAAAAGCATTCACAAAAAACGCCAGAGTTGGCAATCCTATAAAATAAAACCAATCCCGCTGTGATTCAAAGAAATAACTAATTTACTGCATTGAGTTCAATGTTATAACCATGTCGATTTACATGAGTGTCCGATTCATTGTACCAAATCTAAACATTGACTGTTCTCCAGAAAGCAATAAGCTGACATATATCATATTTTACATTTTAATACAACTGAAAAGATAATAAATGTTTTAATATAAAGTTGACGTAGTTATAAATGTTTTCAGCGTAAAATCAAAGCACAACCATATAATTAAAAAAAATTACGCTGGGATTCCAACTGGATACAACTGACGAGTTGTATTTAAGGTGGCCTAAAGTACTGCTTATTTTTTCGTGAAGCCACTCAGTAAAATTACGATTTCTCTGCACCCTGATGTTCAATCAACATCATTCGAGTATCTATATGTTTCTGACACGTTCGGGCATCCGGTTATGACAACGTCTACCCAATGTTTGCACGAGAAATTGACGTAATTCATGACTGAAATCGAGAATACAAAAATATGTGATATTCTTTCAGAATTGTTTATAATAACTATTTACAAAAACGTTCCCGAGACACAATCCATTTAGGTAGGGTTTGTTTTAAAGTCGAAAAGCCCCAATAAGACAATACAAACCCAGATAAAACCCAGAAGAATGCAGATTTCATGTAATGATTTACGTTCATGTAAACAAGTAAAGTACATATAATCCCCATATAAAACACTGGCCTACGTGACATGTAAACACAGGTTCAAATAGAAATATAGAAAATTTTCAACATAGCATTTGCTTCCGTGTTCTGTATGCCCCTCTACCTGCTTAATAAGGCAATGTATCTTCAAATAAAACCTTAGCCAAGTAGATAAGGGTCTCTGGAACACTTTTGTATATAGTTTTCACGGCTTTGTATAAAAAACCTCCTACCTCATACCCACCTACGTGGAACATGATACAGTCATTGAAGGGTTCAATTTTAATGATTA